AAATCATTAACGTCAACGAAAAATAGGGTGGGGCAGATTATACTTCTTTGAACAATACCATAGCAGGTAATTTTTTGGTAATCACTTTCAGGCATTAAAACCGATTGCTTAAATAATCTGTTACAGTTGCAACTCCGTTCCGCTAATATCTAGTGCTTCCAACTTTTAAGAAGTCTGAATTGATACGATATATAAGGCTTTTGTAGATCAAGAAAAATATAAAAGGACAATGTTAAATTTGGCCTAAGAATCAACACCAATTTGGCATTTATGATAATATATTAGTATATTTTTTGCGATATTTATCAGTATTTAGATAGTGACGGACACTTCCAGTTAAGTAAGCTATATTAAAAAGTTAAAAAATAATCTGAGACTACCATTTTATGTGCATAATCTATCACAGCGCTGCTAACAAAACACTCTTTCTTCCTAATGCCGGCACTTCACTTGGCAATTCGTGTTTGCTTTTTGAAAACTTCTCATCAGTCTGTCCTTTTATTCCATATTAAGCATGACAAGGACAGACTGTTGTCAAGTGAAGGGCCGGCATAAAACTCGATACTCTGTGGTTCTGGTGCAGGCAGTTTCATCATCATCATCATCATCAGCCTATTAATGTCCCCACTGCTGGGCGCACAGGCCTTCCCTATGGATGGAATAGGGAGATTGGGCCATGACCCACCACGCGGGCCCAGTGCGGATTGGTGGGTGCTAACGACTGCAGATGCAACCGGGACCAACGGCTTAACGTGCCTTCCGGAGCACGGAGGAGCTCGAGATAGTAAATTTTTGGTCACCCATCCAATGACCGACCACTGCGAAAGTTGCTTAACTTCAACGATCGCAGCCGAATGCGCTAACCAGTTGCGCCATCGAGCTCCTCCAGTTATTTTAGCAGTTCATTCCTCCAGGCAGTTTGCATTCGTAGTAATCTGTGGCATTCGTGGATTCTCGTTTCGGATTTCCTGTTGTGTGTGTTTATTTGCGATTGTTTTTCCTTTAATTTAACTATTTCGGCTATCTAATATGCCATCGATGTTACCAAATAGCAGAGACCTTATTACCAAGTGCTAGAGAACCTGTGCCACGACATCCTGAGAGGATCATACTGCCAAATTATTCAAGAGCAGCTGATACATATTCACGCTGCATATTTATACAATATACATGTGATATACAAATAAAATACAATATAAAGTATGATACAATTATGTGAAAAATAGTCAAAAAATAAGAAGCAAAACTACAGTTTTTATTTTATTCATGATTCCTACCTTACCAAGTTTCAAGTTTTCCTAATAGTTATTCTTTAAAATCGCATCGAATAAAAATGAATTAGTTGTAATATTAATTCAATGAGTTCATACTAAGTTCTTAGGTTGACCTACGAGTATGTTTCATTTAATATTAAACATAACCACAAAAAATATTAAGTTTTCCTGATAATTTAAGTTCACAGAAGTGTCCGTCAATAATCTTTGTTTTTATAGTCATTTACTTGCAATTTCGAACCTAGAAAATAATATTTCATGATTGTTGGTTCTTAGGCTAACAATGTATGGACGCAGAACAATGTCCTTTATGATAGATTAAAAGTGGACTGTTTTTTTTCATGAGAATCATATTTGTTTCTTGTGTTTTCACGCACATCACTCATTAAATAAAACATTTCGAGCACTATGACTTATACCTAGTGAATATGTCCCTATACAACCTACGTATTTATATAATATATCGATGCGTCAAAACATGACAGATACGGCAGAACGGGCTCCTGAGCGACTGATTGCCCGTATCTGCCACGTCATCACTTTACGCTTGTATTTTGCAACGTACTTTCGGAAAATAATATTCTTTACTTAAGTGGAACATATTTGGCACTACACAGTATCATATTTTTTGTTTTCCTCCAACCACGGATCTTTTTGCCATTCTGTATACCTAAATAAAAATGCGAATCTCTGGTACCCAGATAAACCCTACGAGGTTTTCGTGGGATAGCATATTATGTATTAATATAAATATATTGTAAGTAAAGTTGAATAAATAAATAAAAAAATATCATATCTGTTTTCTAGAGGACTAGGCATAGACATAAAATTGTTAATGAAATAAAAAGTCACTTGAATGTGCTAAAGAAGTGTTCAGACTAAGTAGGTAATGTCAGTCAGCCATAGAAAGTAGTGTACATAATGTTAATAAGGCAAAGTAGGTACAGTCAGATTCGATCAACAGAGATAGTCATCGGTCAGCCAAGAAATTTTAACAAAGCTTCTCTGTAATCAAGTGGTCAGGTTGAGGTTTGATTGTTTTAGGAAAAAAATCATATGAGAGCTCAAGCGTTATGTGTTGATGTTACTACAAGACCTGTCAGACTCTGTATTTTTTTTTATATGAGGCTCAACAAATTACCCCACTCCATCTCATGTTCAGTGTAAGTGAAGTCCAGTCGTGAAGATAGATGATGCGGCAGAACGATGATGATGATGAACACAGCAACCATCCTCACATTACCCTTTGCAAGGACCCGTGGAGCCCTGAAACAAAGTGGTCTGTTTCTGTTGTCGGGAACCCTACTCGAAACCATTTTGTAAAAGTAGGTAACGTGTTAACATCTCTTATATGCAGCCCTAAATTATATTAAGGACATATTTTTAATTAAGTTTTATTCCTACAGAAAATCAAATCAGTCATTTCAAGATCGATCAATACGATCAAACATCAAATTCAATTCTAGAATAGTCGACTACATTTTTGTACATTCATTACCTATTATTTGACCAACCTCCCAAGCCAACAATGCTTTCTGCAAGCACGTCTACTGAGACGTGCTTGCATAAAGCATTGTCGGCATCTCTGGTTGTCTCTAAGTTCGTCATCTGGTTGAATCGATTCCACGGCTTACGTTCTCAGCTAGAATGAGATTAATAGGAGATATTTCTGCAGCTGTAGCTTTGTAATTCTTCAAAGAAATGTTTTAATTGATTAAATTTCAACCGTTGATACACATTTCGTGCACCTGTTAAGATGGAATATTCCGAACGGATCAAGAATAATTTTGCAATGTTTAATTCAACGTTCAGCGACATAACGTTTAATTAAATTTGACGACCTCCGTGGCCGAGTGGTTTGTAGGCCGGGTTTCATGGTGACGCCGACTCGAGAGGTCCCGGGTTCGAATCCCGGTGGGAGCAATGTTTGTGTGATGAATACAAGCATTTGTATTCCAGTCATGGATGTTTAATATGTATTTATATATAAATATACTTATATATGTACTGTATATGTATTCTATCCGTTACCCTAGTATCCTTACAGTGCTTACTTTGGGGCTAGGATAATTGGTGTGTTAAAAAAAAAAGTTTCCTCTCCTTTAAAGGGATTTTCAATGTGAATGTGTATTTGATTTAATTTGTTATTTCATATTTCTTTTATAATATAATATTACTAGACCAGACAAAAGACATATTCGACATGTTCTACTAGTGTTAATTGATATTTTTTAGCTACAGAGTTATTAATTAATTGATAGATATGATACTGAAATAGAGTCATCGATAAAGTAGTAAGACAGCGATAAATAATAAATTGCGATGAATTCTCATATAAAATAAAAGAGATTGTTAATATTTTCGAATATCAAGGAACTTTATTTGATCAATAACAGACAAATGCAGTTATTCAAGTTTCATAGATTTCTTCCACAAATATTTAAAACAGATCTTCTTATTAGATGAAACGGTGCGATCTTAATAATAATCGTGTGATATGATTTTTTAATTATTATTTCAATCACAAAGTGTGCATTTTAAATTTAAAGATTATTAAAATCACGTATTTGTAAATATTTGGTAAAGACAGTTAATAAATTATGATAATACTATTATTACTTTATATAAATATTATGTATCAGAAAAGACTGTTGTATATTAAATTCTTTTATAATGAATAATAGAAAATATGAATACATTTCTTAAATCTAGTTAGATAATAGAATCACAAATTCCACATTGAGGCTAATATTAATATTAGTAGTAATAAGATAATAATAATAGTGGATTATAAAAACTTATAACACAGAAACAAAACATTATATTTTCTTTTCAAAAATGTGTAGAAATATTATTTTTACCCAATAACTTGAGGCAAATTCTTTAAAAAACTAACCTGTTTATAGCTTAGAAATATAATAAACAAACTTAATATAACAGTTTACTTATAATAAGATAATAATTAACTTAGTGTTAAACATTATTTACATTAGCTCGACATAACTTAATTACACCACATTCTGTACAAAGATTTGGCAATAATAAAGATTTCACATAAATAAACGTCGTTGTATTTACCAATTTAACCGAAATAAAAACTATTTTTATTTTAGTTCATAAATAGTATATACGCTAAACTTTCAAATTTCTAACGCAAGTATTTATTAAGTTTATTAATATTACGTGGACAATATTTGATAATAATTATAATGATGAAATGTATTTTTATTAATATGTTTTTGTAATATTTAAATTTGAATTAAATTACATCTAGATTACATTATGTAGCGGTAAATCGAGATTTCAATGAAACATTTACTACAACGCATCGAAGTATATTCAAGCTGTTAAATAGATTTACCAATGCTTTTTGCATTTTTGTGCGTTATGAATTTTATTCACCCTGCTTTAAATCCTTTTAAATAAATCTATAAATATTATAATATAGCTGCTCTCGAAGTCATAATTAGAAAAATAACGGTACTCTTAAATGATTGTTTATAGTAACTGTATTGAGGTTGTCAGTTTTAGTACTATGTACAAAGGACCCACGTTAATGCACAACCTCTGTTTTTGGCTTGTGACCACAGCAGAAATGAAATGGATAATTGACAAACTTTCAAAAAAGCTACTTTTTAAGCAAATAGCAAACGGAAGAAGAGCATAACTAAACTATTTTATAATTTTAAAACGTTGTGCAGAAATGGTCTAAAACGATCGACATAAAATATTTTTATGTTAAATTTATATTTTTATGTAATATAGGAATATATTTCAGGCATGTAAGTATATTTGCGTTTATTATAAATTTCGGTCAGTAAATGGAATACTGATCGATAAGAAACTAAAATCATTACTATATTTTTTGAGATCATCACAATAACAATAAGTAGGTACGAGTATATTAACTCCTTATTTCTGTTGCACTTCTAATCAAAATCTTGTATTAAAAGCAAGAAGAAGCTGCATTTTAGCGAAGATTTACCGAGTTTTCAGAAGTAGAAACATAATTATTAGATATTATTATATTCTCACTGTGACCAGTGACAAATCCTGCTCGAAAAGAAAGAATGCTAGATTTCATAATACATCGTGACTTAGTTATTCCGACATTTGCATCAATACTCAGAAGAATTAACTAAAATCGAAGTGAGCTAAGCGAATTTTTCAATCGCAGTTAATGATAATGGTGATGTCGTTGTAATCGTAAGACTAGGTGAATGTTGTGGGACGGAAGCGCGAGGACCGGCGTCATGGTTGGGCGGCGACACGATTGCGCCGTGCTGACTCACGCGAAGCATTGTGGACTTCAGCCGTTCGCAGTGTGATGCCAAATATGTCCTCGTGGTAACGATTCTCCTCCTATTAATGCAATGGAATACAATATTGAAGATACCTATTCAATACTTTTAAAAGTATTATGGGGTATAGAACGCGATTGAAAAAGGAGTCGGCGAAGGATCCCAAACGCCAAGACTAATATAAAATTAAATAAATAACGTGACGTACCCGTTCAAAAAGTGTTGTATTAAATGATTATAGTCCATGCAAATATAAGAAATAAATACAATTTTGTATACTTCATGATTCAAATTTGATATTATGTTTATCTTTAAAAGGTGATATAAGTGTACCTAATCATCTGCCACCTTAAAAAAAACGAAAATAATAAATGTTGAACATACCTTCAGTACAAACATAAAGCTCTGTACTTGATCATCAGTCATATTTCCATGTTTCTTGATTATTCCTTTCAATTTCTGATGAACGTCCTCTGCCATTTTACAATCACCACACACATAGAAGTGAGCGCCTTTATTCACCAATAAATCGTGAATCTCCTTTCCTTCTTTTTCTGCAACTTCTTGAACGTACATCTAGAAAGAAAAATCATACATTAATACATTGCCGTACTTCGTGCTATTGTTTAGAAGTTATATTAGTTTAAAGTGCTACCTTTGGAATGGTTTTCTCCCTTGAAAGGGCAAGGAACACTTTCGACAGTACACCTTCTTTTAGTGCCTGCTCCTTTTCTTCTCGATACAAGTCCATGGTTTTAGTTCGACAACCAAAGAACAGCCAAACCGTACCAGCAGTCGAACGATTGCGAGAATTGAGTAATGCCCGGCGATGATGCCAAAAGCCTCGAAACGGAGCAATACCTGTTCCTGGACCAATCAGTATGAGAGGCACTGAGAGATCTTGAGGGAGGTGGAAATTTGGTGCACTGAAACGAGTTATATTTATTTAGCACAGTTCGGACTCATGTTTAACGAGGTAAAATGTCAAAACCTTATGTTAATAATATGTCAAAGCATAATAAACATAATAAACTTATGGGCAATCAAGAAATACCAAGAGTGAACGAGTATGTAAAACGCAATTACTATAATAAAGGGTGGTCCAACCATAATGCTCAATGCAAACATTTGGCCGATATTTTGTTTCACACATAATTGTCAGAAATCCTTCTATAACAAGAAAAAATAACAACATAATTCTCCATAAGCCTTTATTTTATTTACAATTAACACCGTGCGTTATAGTTGGACCACCCTATATTAGGATAATGTGTACACAAAAGACGAGCATATAATATAACATGTTATACCTTCTAATAAACAAATAAACTTCGTCGCCGGGTTTACGATCCATCAGATAATTTGAGCAAACACCATGGTGGAGTGGACCTTCACCATCTGTTGAGCATGACATCATATTATGTTATAAAAATGTTTCATCATACAAGCTAACAAACTGATTATTAGTAGGTCGTCTTTAGATCAAACGCAACCACAATGATGAACTTCACAATTATGGAGAATGGAACAATAACATTCTAATCTCAACGTAAATTCTTCAAGTGGGTAGAATAATCGATTGTACTCTGTGTTTAACTGTGCAATATCTATCATTACATGAATCACAGTATTGATGACCTTAAATTTACTAATATTAATTAATGAGTCAAGAGACAATTTTATGAATTGTAAAAGTTTGATACGACAGTTAAATGTCTTTAGGTGGGATTTATGTATTAGAATTATTGAATATCAAATTGCAACTTGATAAATTAATAAATTTTAATAAATTAAGGTTCAACTTTATAACATGGTATGATAAGTTATTTATTTGTTTATTTTTATTTAATATTATCCCAGAATTTGGATAACTTCTTAACGGGGAAAAAGTTCAAAAACCGAGAGGCAGTTCAAAACGTCTTTGAAGAATTTGTTGTATCCAGTCCAGCACCCTTTATCAATAACCTACCTAGTCGTAGCATTTGCAAAAATGCATTGATTGCATGGGTAATTACTTTGAATAATCAAAATAAAAATGTAAAAAGGGCTTATTTAACTTATTTCATGAGAAAGGATAATTTCAAAGGCAACGACTTAATATAAATCTTAAGATAATGAAATGGGATGAATAATTTTGCAGGTTCCCATTTATTCCATGCTGTCGAAGTCGCAAAGGCACACCAGTATTTTAATGAAAATTACTAACCTTGAGTTCTATAAGTGACCACGGCTACTGTTAAATGTAGTCGCTTCGGGTGTGCTATGGGCGATGAAGATATTGAGTAAAATCTTGGCTGCAGTGGAGACAGTAGTGCTGCTAGCAGGGAAGCGCTGGGCCTGGCTGAGGTGAACTGTTCCAGAACCTCTGGCAAGGTTGGAAAATGAAAGTGGCGCCAATCCTCATACGATCCTGGATCCTATTAAAAATTTAAGAATGAACAAAATACTTTAATATTCCTATTTCCATAAAAGTGTGCCAATGGTAGAACTGTGACTAATTAGATTTGATTAGTTTAGTTTAGATGATAAAAATAAAAACACATAACTATTTCAATAATCATTAAGTTTTAATTATTAAGATTACCTGCTTATACACATATTAATATAAGAGTTAAGTTTAACAAATCTATGCTATGATAGTTTTCTGTTACCAAACTAGATAAAAAATCTGACGTTCATTACTCTGTGCTTTCGTTCAATAATATTAAATGATAACTTAGTCTTTAAATGGAAACATTTCCCAATCAGAATATCTAATGCGCTGCGCAAACGTAAACACTTTTTGTTACTGACACGGCGCGCACGATCATAGGAAAACGTAGTTGCTGTGTCAAGACACAGAATAGTTCGATCGCCGCTACAAGTAGCGGCGATCGGACAATAGTGGCACTCATATTTAGTCATTTGATTTATTGTTAAGAATGAAAAAGCAAGAATGGAAATATGATAATAAAAATATATTTTTAAGAACACACTTTTTTATGGATATATAAAAATTACAAATTGACGGTTGACAGCAAACATATATTGTGTCACAATACATTGTAGGCGATTGGCTTCTTAGTCAAAATGACGTGTTAGGTAGTATTGAAGCAGTGGCATCTTGCATTTCAGGCAATGTGCTCATAACCATTAAAATGAGTACCTAAGTAAATACCTTTGTAATTTTGTATTTTAGTAATGATAACTGTATCAATATTCAAAACTACTGAAACACCATTGGCACAGGATTATTATTTTAATTAAGCAGAATTCATACCCTAGTCACCCTTAATCGTGGTTGTTATGTCCGGGTGGTGGCTCAGCTCAGTAAAATTGTAACGAAATTTGTAATGTTGCTTGTGACTTCAAGTGAACGACTTTAGTTTCCAGTTACCGACACCGAACACTTGTTGAGCGTCAAAGAGTATGTTCAAAGTGGAAGCAAGTCGACACAAAAAATGTTTACAACTGCGCAGAGAGTGGCTGATTTCATACTGGTTCAATAAAAATCAAATATTCATTGGTAACTTTTATCTGACATAAAAGTTTGCGCGTACCACGTTTGCGTAGCGCCTTAGTGTGTGATCTTCTATTTTTGAATAAGTGTTTGTTAACATAATCGAGTCACGATTCTGATGTTATATTTAGCTCTTCTTTGGGATGAATAAATCAATACTAAAGAGATGTCAACAACATGTTTTCATTAGATCAGAACATTATATTATCATTCCGTCACCATTATAGAGGGTCGACAACAACAGAAAATCGACATACCGTCGCCAAAATGTTCAATTGCCTCTTTTCTTCCTCGTTTTCACATGTCGTTGCCAGATATTGGAGGAGGATCGTGGTCGGTGGCGTTGTGATGTCCAAAAACCTCGTGAATAAATCTCGCACGCTCAAAGCTGGCAATCTTTCGTGGGGTTCCCATGACTTTACTGGTCCTAAATTGAAAAAAAACCGTTTAAGTTAAATTTGCCAAAAAATCGATGTATTTGGTTTCAATTCGTTGCTGATAAATAGTTTTTTTTAAGTAAAATGTGTACGTTTTTCGGGTGTTTTTGTCTTCCACTTAAAGCTGATAGAGTAATTGTAAAGAAAGGTGTAGGACCAATACAGATTCTATCCTTCATTATACAGAAGCTAATCATAATATACCAAACTTCTACATTATTATCAAGTATGATCACCGAGCTACATTTTGCAATAGTTATAGTCAAAGTAAATTAGGCGATAGAGGCAATACTTTTAGCTTTATCAGCTTTTTATAGGCCATATTAGCTCGGTGTGTTCATATTTGCTCCTCTTTATCTTATAAATACTCGACGAATATAAAACCTCTGTATTTGTTGTTTAAAGTCGATCAAGAATAGTAAAACTATTTATTTCAGGAAGTTCCAATACACATATTTTATGTTATATTATGTCAGAATATTGATATAAAGCTATGAATATGTAGGCATTTTATAAGAGAAGGAATTAGTGGATTTTTCATTCGAATATAAGCGCACGTCAATGGAAGTTACCTCTCCCATAAATAAGACCACAGAAAATTGATATTACTTTTTGGTGGAGTTGCTAGTAGGGTTCCAAGATATAGGATTGATCTGAGATCGACAAGGGAGGTTAGTTGAAGCGAAATACTTTTCTACCGTGTCAGCTTCTTCGCGACTAGACTCCACATTAGGACTGATGTGGTAATTAGCTGAATCCTGCATAAAAACAACAAACATTAAACGTAACAACTCACCACTTGAAGTATGCGTTTCCTTCATAAGCTGCAGCTGGAGTGGCTCATCGTAGTCATCGACATCTTTGAGGCGAGCGAGCAAGCTCTCAACCAATTCTTTGCGATTGCAAGCAATTATCCCGACGTGATCTCCTGGATCATACTTAATTGCATCCTATAAAGAACCTATCATCAGTATGCAATATGAAATGGTAACGCCAAAGCATTCTCTAAATAAATAATATAAAAAAATATTGAATTTAAAGTGTAAATATTGAAGTTAATGTTATTAAAATTGTAAAAAAGAATCAGTAAAATAAGTTTTTTTTTTCAATAGTTTAGTTGCAAAGCTCATGCAACAATGTAATTTAAAATAATGACAGGAAACCTTCACTCTCATTACCCAAACAAGCCGACACTGTTGACATCAGAATGACAATCAGATAATTCGTAACCAATTACCTTGGGTTCTAAATCAATGAAAATCGTGGACCTCTCTGCGGAAGCGTCACCCAAGTCTTTGTTAGCCTTCACTGTGCAAGACACGAACTGTTTGTTGAGAGCTGACTGCAGCGCTGCTGGCAGGGATGGTGGTTTGCCGCCGACCATCCTAGAGAATCTGACTGTTTCTTCACTGAGGGCTACGGTACCTAATGCCCTCTTGGCTTCTTGAAGAGTCTCGTCGTCGTCCAAACAAAATGTTTCACATGCAACCTGTTTGCAAATTATAAAGCTATAAACCATGAAACATTGCTCAGTACATAATATGATTTTGTATTTCAAAAAAATGCTTTTTGAATATAGTATCTTATATTATAAGTCAAGTGTGACAAGTTTGGTTTGATCTATTTAATTTGTGTTGTTATAATATAATTCAATTTGTCATAGTTGTTATAATATATTTAAATTGTGTTGTTTAAAAGATAAAAATAAATAACTAACTTTAATCAAGGGAAATTTGTTTTAGATTAAATGCCCTGTCAGATGTTTTATTAATAAGTTTTAATTTTGCTGTATGCAATATTGAAATTGAATTCGATAGATCACTACACAGTATAAAGCAAAGTCGCTTCCCGCTGTCTGTCATGTATGCTTAGATCTTTAAAACTACGCAACAGATTTTGATGCGGTTTTCTTTAATAGATTGAGTGATTCAAGAGGAAGGTTTATATGTATAATACATGCATAATATAGTAGAGAGACACTGATTATTTTAGAGGTTTCTATTGTAAGGTCGTAAATAAACACATTTTTTTGCGCTTACATTGCAAACGCTGGCTGAACCCTACGAGATAAATCAAAATAATGTAGTACAGTAATATACAACTTAAAAGGGTCTACAAAAAAGTCCGGGATGGTATAGGTCTATCTCTTAGGGATAACCCACAAAAACCATTATTTATCCTTTACTTATTACAAGAAAAAAAGGGCTTATTTACAAATCTTATTCAAATATTAAAATGCAGGGACATAGCGATTGCGGCGGTGCGGCCGGGGGTCGCGTGCCTATAAAAATTGCGTGGAAGGCTGCGCTTCGCCCTATAGCACACTGAGCATTCTATGAACGCTTTCCATATGCGCAGTCACAATCATACCGTAGTTTTTTTTTAAGTGGCTTCGCACGGCTTGTGCATTTAGCCAATGTCAAGTGTTAAAATGTTTTCAAATACTATAGCAATCGTGGTCAAAGTGGTAGTCAAGTCAATCCCCCTTTCCCTATGTTTTAGTAAAAGTGTGGGGATTTACTGGAACCTCCCCGTGGACTTCTTGAGGGAACGTCGAAAGACAATTTCCGCTGTTTTGTTTCACATGCCAACACTTCTGCATGTTCCCGAACATTCAGTGGTTAATAATCCACCATTATTAGACACTAACATCCGCCACAACACAATTTTTAACAAGAAAAACAAAACTGCTAAGGTGACGTTTCCCGATCCCGCCAAAAAGTTCTATATCGTAGTTTATTGGTTTAAAGATCACAATGACAATGACAGCAACTGTTTACAACACACGATTCTTTTACGACAGCCCTGCCGTCTTAAAAGCTTTGCATTAATTATGTGCCTTTCAGAAGCTCAATTACTACGAAGCGAGTTGATCAAATTAAAAAGATTAAATTAAATGTCTTTAGGAAATTAACTGCAAACTTTCAATTTAATTTAATTTTCTACTTTTTTGTCGTTAGAATCGGTAAAATATTGAACTATCTTTGGTACCTTTTGAGTACGGAACCTTACTTCTACCTTTTTAATACGTGTCTGGGAAAGGCGTGACGAGACGTCTTCTTTGCCACCGAGAGTTGCAACGGAGATATGTAAGATTCTTCCCCAATAATTTATCCCAGCTGAGGCCTCGGTGAAATGAGCGGGCCTACCCATTAAAACCACAGAAAATACTCCTGCAACTGTCACCCGACACGCACCCCGAAGAGAGTGGCCACCTTACATAAACACTTGCTACCCACATACACAGTAAAATCGTAGTCTCCAATATTTTTAGTATCGCTTCGTAAGTTGTAAGTGTTCCTTATGAAAAATTCGATAATGTAAACCAGGGTGTGAAAAAATACCAAGGAATAACCTTATATCGCTTACGCTGCGGAAGTCATTGACAATAGAGCAAAGTGGTGTACTAAAGTTTGATAGAGGACATCAATATATACAAAAAAGTTGGCGATATCATATGTCTAACTATTACAGTTATGTCACAACTACAGGTTCCCTGCGATTTACCCGAGTTAATTTGAGGAAAAAGGTGGGCATATGCTGTCGTGGACTTTCCGTCATACATTTTTTGTGTAACTTTAATCATTTACGCAGCGCACGCAACGGAATCTCCCAAATGGAATATTTTACAAGCCTTCCTCAATAAATGCACAATAAACAAAAAAAAAATTTTTTCAAATCGGTCCATTAGTTCATGAGATTTGAGCGTTCAACCAATAAAATGGTACATTCGGTACAATGGGGTCTTAAACTACGCAACAAATTTTCTCTATCAGTTAAATAAAATTTTATGGAAGGTTTATAATTAGATAAAGGAATTAATTGTTTATAATACAAGCCTGACAACAAAAACTATCGTCTACACTACAGCTCTACACCGAAGCGAAGCGAGGGCGAGCCATTAGTATTATATAAATTTACTGAACTCGTGTTTTTGTGGAAATGAAAGTCTTCATTTGTTATTCATTAGCGATTTTAATTTGTATGGTAACATAAAATTAATTATATTGTACGGTATTTAATCAAATGAGCGTCTGAGCATTCGAGGTCAATCACCATCAAGTTAGAACTCGTATAAAAATTTAGAGAGGACCTTTACTTGACAACATCGCTTAAAAAGAAGGTTAGGTTAAAAAGAATCACGCAACAATCACAATAACTTTGAATGAAGGCACTGAGGCTTGAATCCTGAACAATTTACGCTCTATTGAAATTTCGGGGATTACCTCAAGGCATAGAAAAAAGATAGTTTGTCCAATCGTGAACGTGCTGTATCTAATAAATAAAGAGGCGTTAAAAGCGATTACATAATTGCTGTAATAAATTATTAAACACTCAAATCATTTCCTGGTTCAAAATCTTCTATTGTCTGTATTACTTGAAGCACCTACTTAGACTAATATGAAGTACTAGCGAGCCTTTGTACGAATTTGACTAATGAGAAGTTGAGAAGTAGGTATTGAAATTATAAAAAAAACCTGTTTCTCAAATTTTCTGGTGGTTTCTAAATGATTTTTCAAACTAAATTTGAATATAGGTTAATCTTGCGTCAATAATAAATAAATTCAACAATTAAAGGATCCATCCCATTGGTGCAGTCTTTTACAGGAAATTACGAACAATTTAGGTAAAAAAAGTTTGTTGCCTACTTAATATCAAAATTAATTTGTAAATATTAATGACCATTGAATATAATTAGGTACTTACATTGAAAACACTCGATGCCCATTTCCTGAAAGCTTGATCTTGACCGCACATCTCATCTCCAGTAGCTATATCGTGGATTCGCTCTCCGCCGAGTTCCCCTAGTAATTTATCTACATATTTGCCGAAATTGCAGAAGTTCGGATAAGCACTGGATCCTAATGCAAATACTGCAAATCGAACATTACTAAGTGGTCCAAAACTATCAATAGATGTTGCATCTGTTGCGCTTCCTGAAAAAAAAAGAAATTTGTTCAATCTAAAAGACAATACTATATGTAATTCAAGTTTATAAATTCTTTGATTCAGACTCAATGGACTCCTTTAGGTTTGATTATACGTAAAGTATTCTTTACCTTTTAGTGACTCTAACCGGCTCAAGGTCTTCGGGTTGCTTGTGCCGTATCGCTGTAGTTCTATTTGACTGTTTGCTTTAATGAAAGATTTCGGAGTCAACATTTGATTCCTGAAACATTTAACGATACTTACATACATATTCGAAAATGGTTTTAGTCAATGAAGGTTTAATAGGTAATCATTTCTCGGCAAAGCTATTGAAATATTAATTTACGCTTACCCCGCTAAATCATCTCCTACTTGGTCGGCATACAATATTTCGCATAAATGTTCTCCAAACGCCTAAAATAATTCAAACGTATCTGATTAATTTCCAGTTTCCCACACACGGAATCACTAAGTAAAGAAATTTTATAATTTTTACTTACAACACCATTCTCTGGTGGATCGCCATTTCCAAATGTCGATGTTACAACTAAAAGTAAAGCTTCGTGTTCTATCGAAGTTATATCATAGTCTGCCATGCAATGAACCTAATAAACAACCATTTTTTTAAATGAACAGTATCAAAAGATAAATTAAGACAAAAAGTCAGTTGGAATTGTCAGTTATAATGTTTTAAAGTTTTTTTTTACCTGAGCATTAAATGCGTGCCCAAATATCACTCCTAATTCCTTTGCGTACTGTTCAGATTTTCCAGTTTCCGTAGCGTACAAGACAGTCGCTTTAATTCTTTTAGACAGAGCCCGACCGAAGAGTTTCGATGTGAATTTAACAGCTCGGGCTATTTGCTTGAAGTGGAACTTCCTATTGATGGGCCTCTTGCCAGTTATTGGCTTAGACTTCTGCCATTGATGCGTCTTCCATGCCGGTTCCTACGTTTAAGAACACTGTTAAATATTATTTTAACTTATTATTTTTCAGAAATAGACATTTATTTGGTTAAAAGAATATAAAATGCTGTTGGACAAGAAATTCCACGTTTAATTAATTACTTCCAACCTAAACCCCTAATTACTGTGTACAATTTGAAAGACAATTTTTAACAAAAAGAAAAAATGTATTCAAGATTATTAGGAAATCTTAGATGTAATAAAAATATTTATACACAGTACAGCTAATTAAAATGAGTCCTTGGCAAACTTTTGGATACAAACGCTTTCCACATTCTTAATTAGAAATGTGAGGGCAGTATTTTTTATACAAAATTAAATAATTGCTTATTACGGATCTGAATGCAAACACAGACCTGATATTCGTATGCTGGTCTTAAATAATACAACGCCATCTCCTGATGAAATACTGGAGTGATGGATGAAGACATTGGTGGGACAATCCATATCCAATCGGCTGGACAGCCAGACCTGTGAAGTTTATGTTCATCAGCATCCTTAACAGATAGCCTGTTTATATCAGCTCCTCTCAAAACAAACTCCCTACTTAACATAAAATTATCATGAACCAATGGGCAACATTCAAAATTTTATTTAGCTACAACATTCAAATTAATTAAAATTCCCTACTTACAAGTGATTCATTTATGCGTCAATATTGTAATATTTTAAGCAAGGACGCTGTAGTTATGATGCAAGCGCTAATGATAAATAATTAGACGCCAAGTGAAGCTTCAGACCAAAACAATCACACGCTGCCACTATTTGCCATCCATGTGTGTACAATAGTCATTACTTCTACCATAAGTATGAAATATAAAAACGAGACTCTTTAATATTTAGTATAGATGATAAATTTGAAATCCCGTTATTTCAAACACTTACTTACAAGAGGCGCAATGTATGTTTAGTTGAGCATTGTTTTATGTTACTATCAGTTATCTGAGTAGAGTAGTAGGGTTTGATTCCCTAGACGCCTGTCTAAACAAGCTGTCAGGACTAAGTGACGACAATTTAACGGCCTGTCCTTGTATCTGAACGCAATTAACTCCAGATTTCTCATATATGTTTACAGCGCAATCATTGTATGCTAGATGCCTTTAATAAATTATTTTTATTATTATTGCCAAGACCTAAACTTGGTTACTAAAAACCCGAATTTGAATATATTGAACTACATTACTACTTTACTATATTATTTTAAATTTAACAACAAACAATATAATTTTGAAAGTTATAACTAAATCACATTGATGAGAAACATCTTAAACCTTATTTACCACATGAATGCAATAAAATTTCTAAATTCTTATTGGTAAATATTGTGAATTATAACACCCAATAAACATTTAATCAAAAGTTACGATTTAGTAATTATGTACTTTTCACTGTTAAATATTATTTTAACTGAATACACAGTCATTTTCTATAATAAATATTATTCCGAGAGCGCATGAGTTTTTGCTTACTATTTTACATCCAAAGAATATATAGAAATAATGGGTGCTGCCATACAGCAAAATAAATACTCGTATTTGTTCACTGCAGAAATTATATTGGCCGCCGCGAATTCGTTAAATAAAGTCTTAGAAAACAATTTTTAAGGATTCAGACACGAACACTATTTTATTCTCAATTTTAAATCTTTAGACTTTAGATGCCCGAGACTGTATATAACAATAAAACAAACAAAATTGGAAAACTGTATAATGGTATCTATTTAAGCTAAAGTCAGCTATTGCTTCGGTTTGTATAGCTATTACACAGCTGTAAGACAGCTAGATTTATAATTTGGGGGCCGTTTTTGGGATTACAAAGACTGAATATCCGGCTATACAGCCCCTTTTTTTTAACGGGGAGAATGCATTTAAGCACCGTCCCCGCCCACTGGGCTAGTGAGCGGGGGTGTGTGGGACTCACCCGGCTAAAGAGATAGCCGGGAATACTCCACTAAACTCCCCGGGAACTTCGCCTTGCCATAATTGAGCGGGCCACGAGCATGTGCAGGGCGCTGGCACGCGTAGGCAGCCCTAAGTTAAGCACCTTCAAATTGTTATAATACAGCGTTTAAACAATTTCAAATGCTATCTGGGCATGATGAATTTCAAATGATATCTGATACCTATATAAAATCTTTTAAAAGTTCAATAATTTTTTTACCTTCAAAAGGACATTGTTCAGCGTCCATACATAGTTAGCCTAAGAACCAACAATCATGAAATATTATTTTCTAGGTTCAAAATCATAAGTAAATGACTGTAAAAACAAAGATTATTGACGGACACTTCTGAGAACTTAAATTATTAGGAAAACTATTTTTTTTTGAGGTTATGTTTAAAATTCAATGAAGCATAGGTCAACCTATGAACTTAGTATGAACTCAGTATGAAGTGGATTAATATTGCAACTAATTAATTTTATTCGGTGCGATTTTAAAGAATAACTATTAAGAAAAACTTGGTTAGGTAGGAATCATGAATAAAATAAAAACTGTAGTTTTGCTTCTTATTTATTGACAGGGGTTTTTGGCGGGATTTCATCGAGTGCGGTTGGCGTCTTATTTTAATTATTATTAAATTCGTTCATAAAGGATTTTGTGAAATAAAATTGGTGTGGTTTTGTGTAACAACTGTCTGCATAACTGAAGAATTAGTGGAATCGTTAAAATATATGCTATTCCGGTGAAGTGGACGTGAGAATTTTATTGTAGTGTTGACTACCTCACAGAAGCTTATCGTAAAAGCCCGCTCGATACATTTCGTGCCAAACACTCCAAGAAACATTAGAATGCGTCACACCGACATTCTAATGTAAAAACAAAAAGAAGATTAATTGAATTAAAGACCAGGCTGTATGGGCATTGTTCCCTTTGCCTTCCCTAAAACGGGAGAACTTCAACTAAAATAAAATATTGACAATTTTTCACATAATTTTATCATATAGTATATTGCATTTATTTATATATCACATGTATATTGTGTAAATATGCAGCGTAAATGTGTATCAGGTGTTCTTGAATAATTTGGCAGTATGATCCTCTCAGGATGTTGTGGCACAGGTTCACTAGCATTTGGTAATAAGGGCTCTGCTCTTTGGTAACATCGATAGCATATTAGATAGCCGAAATAGTTTAATTAAAGGAAAAACAATCGCAAATAAACACACACAACGGGTAATCCGAAACGAGAATGCACTTTCTATTAAACTACTCTTTGGAATGCACGAATGCCACAGATTACTACGAATGCAAACTACATACACCACAACCACAGAGTAACGAGTTTTATGCCGGCCCTTCACTTGTTTGTCCTTGTCATGCTTAATAAGGAATGAAAAGGACACACTGATGTCATGTTTTAAAATAGCAAATACGAATAGCGAAGTGAAGTGCCAGCATTAGCAAGAAAGAGTGTTTTGTTTGCAGCGCTGCCATAGATTATACACATAAATTGGTATTTATTGTCTCAGATTATTTATTAACTTTTTAATTTAACTTACTTAACTGGAAGTGTCCGTCACAATCTAAATACTGATTATTATCGCAAAAAATATACTAAGAATTATCATAAATGCCAAATTGGTGTTGGTTCTTAGGCTAATTTTAACATTATCCTTTCTACAGTCAAACTTGGTATTTTCATTCACGTTGTCGTAACTCGAGACAAAAATTACCTTTCACGTAACTTGTAACCTACTCGGTGTAGTTCCTAGAATGTAATTAGAGCAAACGCGGAGTTGAAACGTGGGACAGGAAAACACAGGATTCGTTCCGAGTTGATCACTTTTAACCATCTTTGAAGTAGAATTGAAGTTAAATGAGTTTCTCATAAGGAAACCATAAGTTCTTACTTATATAGAGAACATATTAGCTTGCTGTATGACGCGCTGTTAGAGAATGTCGATAGTGCGGGTCATTAGCGCCTTAGGCCTGGGTTCATGAAAGTTAAGCAACTTTCGCAGTGGTTGATCATTGGATGGGTGATCAAACCCCTATCATCTCGAACTCCTCCGTGCCTCGGAAGATAAAACATACTTCTCGTCTGGTAATCAGATGGTTGAAGGAAGACTCCTCTTCGGATCTAAGACTAGCGCTACAGTGCTAGCACGTTAAGTCGTTGATCCTGGCTGCATCTACAGCCGTTAGCATCCACGAATCCGCACTGGGCCCAATCTACCTAATCCAAATATAGGAAGGCCTGTGCCTCATCAGTGGGGATATAAATCTGACGATGATGATATGACACGCCAGCAAAGTCTTCCAAACTGAAATACCCGACTAACCTGAGCCGGTTCTCATTATCAAGGTGCTTGATGAAACTCTCCGAAGCAGTATGGTGGTCGACGATGGTCGCGTTTTGCTGTTGGAAGCTATGCAAAACAGCTACGTTTACTTCTACTAAAGCTTTGTCTTTCCAGAGGTTCACTGGTGTCCTCGTGTCTAGACCCATCTTCTGAGCAACTTTCTGTAAAACAAATTAAAGTAAATACTCAACATATTTACGGATAAATTTTATATGCACCATCATGCAATCATACAGACTGCAAAACCAACCACCTAGTTTGAAAATATAAACATTATTCATTATTATATTATGACCAATGTAAACAGAGATTTTCATATTTTGTTAATAAATTTTATTACAGTGAAGTGTAAATAATGAAATTTCCCCTGAATTGTTTGAATTATAGTTCCAAAAGCACCTATTACAAGTTTTATGAAATTTTATTAATAAATTTTAGAGGTATAAAAGTAGCGAAAAATAGCGTATCCGTATGCATTGTTTACTATAACAATCAGTACTCGTTACTATCGTATGGTTACGATACCGTTACTTTTGATACCCGATAACAAAAAATATCGCATCAGGTCGTGTTGCATAATTTATTGTGCTACCAACGATATTAAAGTACCCTAGATACACCAACACGAAGAAAATCATGCCCGAAACTTGTCCACAAGGTACATTGGACGATCCACGGAGCTCCGTAAGATGATCGCGTAGTCTTAACAATATAAGGCATTATTTTAACATTGAAAATCACCTTTAAAGCATACTGTATAAGGTCTTAATTAACACGCACGCGTCAATGAGTTATCATAGTCCGATACGTAAGCTCGTAATATTTTAAGAAGTGCTTGAGTCGTGTTCAAGCACTTCTTGATTGGGACACATTTTGAGCGCACGTGATGTATCTAGGGTATTTAATAACGTTGTGCGCTACGCGTAACGTTGATGTTGCGACGACTTTCGAACTTTGTAGAAAAAATACTTTTACTTTAAATACATATTTTGAACCAGACTTGTCGTTTTGTGTACACATGTAAATCTAAATTTAATTTGAGTTAATATGTAAGTTGGTTAAAATTACAAGTAAACTGTAATTTAATTACCCCAGGGATCTGACGGAAAACGATTGAATTTGCAACAGATTTATTTTCGAATATTTGATCCGTGAAAATACAATGCAACCTTAATATAACGTAGCTCAATATAACGATTTCCTTGATTTAACAAATTCTTCGTAATCTCCTAGAATTTTCCATAAGAGTCAATGTCAACTTGCGAACAACCTCTTTTTAACAAATTTTCAACTACCAAGAAAAGTGTAAATACCCCTAAATAACGAATTTTGTCAACCAAAAACCTCTATATAACGTTTCCATCAATATATGGCCCTTAAACCCATAGTACGTGATTCATATCACGTCAGAAAACTATTTTTACCTCTTTATAACAAATTTTTGACCAACCTAACCTCAATATAACAAACCTCAGTTGAACGAATTTCTTAATATAACGAATATTTACTTGATCCATTGCGATTTGTTAGATTGAGGTTGCACCATATGTAATTGTGTAACACTGCAATTCGTCATGCATTGACTAAATTAAATAATAAATAAAAAGTAAATATAATATAAATATAATATTTCCAACACTCACACCAATTAGCCTAGCCCCAAAGTAAGCACTGTAAAGGCTTGTGTTATGGGATACTAGAGTAACGGATAGAATACATATATTGTACATATAGAAGTATATTTATATGAAATACATACTAAACATCCATGACTGGAGTACAAATGCTCGTATTCATCACACAAACATCTGCCCCCACCGGGATTCGAACCCGGGACCTCTCGAGTCGGCGACGCCATGAAACCCGGCGTATAAACCACTCGGCCACGGAGGTCGTCGGCCAAGTAGGTAGGTAATTTCAAAATTAATGTCATCGATCACGCCGAAATGCATTAGTGTGTAACGTTTCGGTAGTCTGTACTTAATTGCGTGCCCGTAACTCAGTTCCAAATACACAGGTACGGTTTGCTACAGCTCTAATCAAATTAAAAACAATACAAATATGAAAATCGAAAACCAACCTCTAACATGTTTAGCCTGTTTGTATCACAAAAGTTGCGGCAGCCGATCTCAGTACTCATGTACCAGCCATTGAAGGCATTGGCAGTGAACTCTATACCACCACAATCGAATCTCATGCTGGATACAGCTGGTAATGCATACCAACGAAGTTCTAGCTCCTCGAACCAATCATGCCTGTTAAACAAAATAAATATATGCTAACATTTTATATAATCATAATAACGGGCTTTGGCCCGTCAAAGTAGCTTATACCAGCCTAAGACCTGAGAAAAAACACTCATAATGATAATAATAATACAATTTTATTAATAATTAAATAAGATACATTTCCGCACTGGGCTATAGCTATCTGTAATGGCAATTTTAAGTAAATAAATAAATTTTACACTTGTACGCCTTTACTTTGAAAAACGGTTGTGTTATTACATCTTCCATTTATATCAGTTTAGATATTAAAATTTAGATTACTAATTTTGTTATTAAAATGTGAGAACAGAACATCCCAATACAAACGCTCATAACTTAAAATGTTACTCCGTATCACGGCTCCGTATAATGTCATAATTTGTGTGTTTCTATCTGTCACAGTTTAACATTGTTTAGCAAACTCAATAAAACAGATTAATGGCAAGCCAACGTATCATAGCGTATAACGAGGCAGTATATATCTGGCCAGACCACATAGTTTGCTACCGAACTAAATTTCTTCTAAATTGTACCCTACACACAGCAATAGATAGTCTCGTCTTAAAGGTTGACCCGGACGCCCTTTACTTTTACAACTTCGAGGCGAAGCATGTTCCAACCGTAATAGCCCTTAGGTATTGCCAAGCCCGAACACTCAATTACGTGTTATCACGACACTTTATATCGCATTAACGCCTGTTAACATTATCAATAGCGATACATGATTGAATAGCAAGAATTATAGGCTGTAAACTCAGATTGGAGATCGTTGGACCACGTTTTTACGATAAGCAATTTAGAGGGTATGTGCGGACATTTGGCTATTCGTGAGCGCTTACCTCTCACAATATGCATTCCCCGGGCTTTATATGCCACATAAATCTGTGATGGAAAAGAAACACTGTGTGAGACGACGCAACGTGGTCGCCATTTTCTACGGTCCTTTTCTACCTTCCGAGTATCGGAATGAAATAGTTGCGAACTCCTTTGCAGTTTATGTACTCTATGTGCAAAGGTGTTGACATTTTCTTTCAATATTATGTGACGAAGTTTGTCGATAAAGAAGAAATGAACCTTTTAAAGCTAGCTCGCTATTTAGAGGCTGAAGACGGACTTACTTTATTTTCAAGCTTTTTAAAACCTAGTAGCATTCTAAAGTTATCAAAGCCAGATGTTAGCATTTCCTTTCTTTCCTTAGCTCAAAAGACTTGTGAAATCTGAATAACGTCTAATTATTCTGCCACAGAAATTGGCAACCCAAACTTTGTATCGGAAGATATTTTGAGATAACTATTTCATTGAATGAGTGCCGTTTATTTTGACACGAACAGCAAATAATTTGTACTTAGCACTTAATGTTACAAACAATATTACAATATCGTCTAGGAGAATTAGAAATGTGCTACAATCTAATTTGCTACTGAAACACTCGAATAGCCCTCAAATACATTAGAGTTCCGTTACGTTTAGTTCAAACAATTACTTACGTGGGATGAGTCATGTGTATCTCCATTACAAGTTCCCTTGGGATCTCGAAATAGTCGGGGTCCTTCCCGTTAGCGGACAAAACAAGAGGCAAAATGTCCCAAGCAGTGCGAGTAGGTTTCCAACCAAGTTTCAGGCATAGCTGTAAATGAGTTAACTATTGTAACACATGTTCTTCACAAAGTACTTTGTAATTTAGGCAAAATCTTCTGGTCTGTGAATTAATATAGTGTAACCAGGATTATATATATTATCGAGTTTCTAACTGCTTAATTTAATTTCTTTCTTAGAAAATTTAATTTCCAAGAGCTGCTTTTATGTACAGTCGTCAAGTTTATATTGAAAGTACTTATAAGTCTTTCAGGGTTTCATACTTCAAATGAAAAAAATGGGAACACTATTATAGGATCGCATTGTCACCCTGTCTGTCAGTGTGTCTGCAGTGCCCCTTATTTAGGATTCCGTAGCCAAATGGCAAAAAACGGAACCCTTATAGATGCGTCATGTCCGTCCATCTGTCCGTCCGTAAGTCACAGCCACTTTTTTCTGAAACTATAGGAACTGTACTGTTGAAACTTGGTACGTAACAACTATACTGTTGAAAGATGTTTTCTGTGAACCGCATTAAGATTTTCACACAAAAATAGAAAAATACAATAAATTTTGGGGGTTCCGATACTTAGAACTGAAATTTCAGAAAACTCAGAATTTTTTTTTATCATGAAACCCATACGTGTGGGTTAGCTACGGATAGGTCTTCAAAAATGATATTGAGTTTTCTATTTTTTTTTCCTAAACTGAATAGTTTACGCGAGAAACACTTCCAAAGTGGTAAAATGTGTGGGGGAGACACATTTTAACACCCATTACCCCGTAACTTCTAAAATAAGAGAATGATAAAACTAAAAAAATATAGATGTACATTACCATGCACAATCTTCCACCGAAAATTGGTTTGAACGAGATCTAGTAAGCAGTTTTTTTAATACGTCATAAATCGTAAACCGCTATTTACCTATCATTCAATCAACTCAAATATAAAAATAAAAAAAGACATTTAATTTCATAAACATACACGGTATGCATAATTTTACATTTGACTAAACTATGTAATGCCATTTTGTACGATAACCTTTGCCATCTTGTAAGTAGGAACATAATCCTATTGGTATAAAAAATTTGAGGTTTCTGATCAAATAACTACGACAAGTGGTTTTGGCAGTCCTCTCGTGATGTTAAACTGACACTGCCTACAGAATTCTAAGAGACCGAAACAGTACCCCTAGCACGAACCATTATCGAATTCGAATAGTTTGCAAACCGAATGTCAATGCCAAATTTTGTATGGAAACTTGAACAGCAGCGGCACAAAGTACGTAGCGAGAACTAAAAATCAGTACACATTTGACAAGGACATTTCGGACTCGCAAACGATACGAATTCGATTTTGGTTCGTGCTAAGGGTACTGGTATAAATATGAAAGGTAAGAACTATACGGCGGATGCATTAACACCTCCCAGTCAAACTTTATTCCGGGTGGCTGAAGATGTGTGAGATCTAGCGTTATCATGACGAAAAACCACACCGAAACCACACGAAAAACCACGGATGCATTAACACCTCCCAGTCAAACTTTCTTTCAAGTGCCAGAAGATATGTCAGATCTAGCGTTATCATGACGAAAAACCACACCCTTTCTGTTGATTAATTCCGGCCGCTCTCTCTCAACATCATGCTTTGCTCTCATTAGTTGTTTTGCAGTAGAGTTCAGAATCAATGGTCCTGGAATGGAATAACGCCCTTCCAATCCCACTATACACACATCATCCTTCATCACCTTGTTGCGAGTTAACCCGGGTTTTGCCAGTGTCTTTGAAGCCTGATCGGCCTTTGACCATGACCTTTTTCGCACGTTCTGGTCGTATCCATTCGACTATTCATCAACCGTTAGCAGCATCTTCAAAAATGGTTCGGTTTCATTACGTCGTAATAAAGAATCACAAATGAGTCCACGGTTCATTAGGTTTCTGTCAGTGAGATCGTGAGGCACCCAAATATCGAGCTTTTTTGTGTACCCAGCTTATTTCAAATGCGCCAAAACTGTTTTGTGGTCAATTCCCAGTTCTTCAGCTACGTCGTAACTACTGATACACCGATCTAGCCCTACTTTTAAAAAAATGGCATCCATTTTACCCGTAACAGGGCGACCGGAGCGACGTGCATCTCTGACATCAAAATTTACGGATTAAAAACGCTTAAATCAAATTTGTCCTACTCTGACAGACACTGAAATAGGTCCATAAACATCACATTTTTTACGCGGCTTACGTTGCATGTTTAGCTTTTATGTAGTGAAATTTTAAAATGTATCGAATTTCATCATTAGATTCACTCATCTTGACAGAAAGAAAAACAAATAAAAATCACACATTTTTCTAATTACAGTTCTGAATTATCTTCTTTAAAATTTAAATTTTTTAATGATACCAAAGCCAGCCAGATACAAATGGTATACCCAAAGAATGGTATAGACAATGCAAAAAAACCTTTTTCCCAATCTATTAATATTAAATACTTAATTCATATTATATAACAATCGTTGTACAGCGAAAACCGATTAAATCGAAATGAGTCGATAATACAAATCGACTTGGTCACGGTAATAATATAATATTACCGTGACTTGGTGTTTCTATTAATTCAATAAAGTGACATTAATAACAACACACACTGGATAGGTATTATATAATAGTATAGATTTTGTATGGATCAATATATACCTAAACGGTACTAAGATTGTTGTATTGCTTGTCAAGTAAGCCAGGCGCGAGTGAGGTGAGCGAAGCTGTCGAATGGAAAGTGATTTATTCACAAAGCCTATAAAAATTCTCCCACAACGTCAAAAATATTGAAACTTGTTTCACTGTATCAAGAAAAGCTATTAGGCCCGTTAGTCTGTATTTTGACAATATCAATTATTGACCGACTCAATATTGCGAAGTTGATGTTGATAATACATGTATGAACGCCTTAATACTTCACAATAGCAGTGATTTATTGATGGGGAAAGTCTATTTTGAAGTACTTTATAAATATGCTGAAGGAGAAAAGAAATGCTACGATGATATTACTTCGGTTGCTAATAAAAATTTACTTAAGGGTTTGAATTATACCAGATAAACAAAATTTAGTCAGGATATGTTGTAAATATTCGGAATCATAAGTAAGTATTTAAATTTTATTATATCTAAAAGCTGAAATTTGGTATGTAAGCTAGTATTAGTGCACAAACAATAATAATAAAAGAATCTTGTAATTTTTAAACCCAATCCCTTAAACTTGCGGATGAAAGTTTGTATTGGACTTTCGCAATTTTGACGCTAGATGTCTAATAATAGGAACTCTGTTAATATGAACAATAAAAATAATAGGACAAAATGGAGAAAAATGTCACAAGCAGCTTGGAAAAAGAAATGAAATCCCACTAAAACCATTTTAATGTAAAATGTTGCCAAATTGAGATCATATGTCTCGCACTGTCAAAAACATACCTGATCTCATGTAGAGTCAAGCTTCTGACTTTACACGCTCTTTTTTAGGGTTCCGTAAACCCTTGAATTTTTGTCATGTCCGTCTGTCCGTCCCTAGTTTTGCATGGTGACTAGTATATCGATCTGGTCGAAAAAAATGAAAATAAAATATTATAGGGTAGCTCTCCTACATGTAACCTGGTTATGATTTTTTTCATCATCTACCCCATTATGTGGGATATCGTCGAATAGATCCTTTAAAATTACTTGGGGGGTTCCTAAGTCTAGTTTTCGGTTTAGGGATCCATTTGCGAAATATTGAACTTAAAAGTGCAAATTTTTGTTCGAACAGGGCGTCCCCCCACTCCATAAGCTAAACTATTGGCTGGAAAAACTTGGAAAAATTTATGATAATAGTACTTTTTATGAACTTTTAAGGCAAACTATAACGGTTAAGATAGATTTGTTAGTTCAAGAGTAATAGTTGTTCCACTTTGGTTAAAGAAAATTTCTTACCCATTAAAAATTCCTTACAAGAAAACATTAATAGTGATATAAATGAACTTATTTTAGCGTAAAACCTTACATTGTTGCAAAATCTAAAAAAACTATTTAGAAACCACAACAAAATATCATTAGTTCCACAACGCTACCGCGAGTACAAACGGCAACGGCTTCTGAGTCGCGCTTACGTTACGTTTTTATAAACTTGAAAAGATCGCTGGTTGTACCGCATCATCCCCTTCTCGGGGGATGATCGCATCAGATGAAGCTTGTAAAGCCCTCCTGCCCATAAGCATGAACAACGGGTGTGTTTTAGTCAGTAAGAGTTTGACATATCCAAGGCAGCCGGCTGTAGGGATTTCACACCCTGCCTGGGAGGAAACAAAAAAAATCGGCGGTATTCATAGGTATTCAAAAACAAATTAATATCGAAGACTCCTGCTCAAATATATTATGGTAGCTACAGGCACCTACAGAACCCTATACTGCGCGTGGCACGACACGCACTTGGTCGGTTTTTTTACCCTGCGTGCGGGGAAAATGCGTGAAGATATACCCCGTCCCCTGACAAGCGACGAGGTTATGTGGGACTCTCCTCCGTGGATTCTTCCAACCGAGGTCCATTCAATGACACGCCTCAACTTTACAAGACCTAACTTGACAAACTCTACACCTTAGTCGGTTCTCACCTCCGTAAACTCGCAGTGCATAGGATCCCCAAGAACAGTGCCGTCAGGTTGCCGGTATCCTGCGTAACTGATCAACTGGCTGTTCCATATCCTGTAGTCGTGCATGCCGTCCGTGCGTTGCGGGAATACAGTTATCGCTGACCTGTCGTAAATTAAAAAAATAATAAAATCTTTCTAAATCGGAATAAAAATGTAGTTATGTATTTTGGGAGATGAACCATAAGGCGCGGTTGGAGTCGTATGCGCACGGGGTCTATCAGAGTGCATGTTGTGATATAGAAGTGGTATAGTTATATCTATGTGATTTCTTAGAAAATATGCCATTTTATCTCTTACAAACAAATGTTACCATGAAACGAAATGGACACTTAAAATGGTGAAGATAAAGAAGAAGTTAAGATTAGAAAAACCTCATTTGTTAAATGTTTAAATTCAGATTTTATTAAAATACAATCTTTTATACAAACCAACCTAATGTTTCCTTTATTTGTACTGTACTTGATGTGATTGCAGAGCGCTTCGAACATGCCGCTTGTAGTCGTCACTTGTCTGCAGTCGAAAACCTAAGAAAAGACAAGAAAATAAAATAAATTTTAATGTGAGAAATAATTCTAAAGTGCATTTTAATAAAAACGAGTGATGAAAAGTGAATCATAAAGGCTCTAATATAAACTTTGTGCAGCTTTTAAGAATTTGTGTGATTTTGATTATTAGTAGCACAAATAGGGTGACTGCAACCCCTATATAAAAAAATAACGAAGAAAACAAATAAACTAGGTCACCTTTATTTTAAGCCTAATATCACTGTTTCATAAATATGAAGTAAAATTCTAAAATCATGTAAATACACAGAGTAAAACATTACGCTAAATTGCAATAAAGGTCAGAGAAAAACTGAAAAAATACTAAACTATTTATGAAAGTTTTTATTTATAAAGGCTTGGATTTTTTTACAGACAGAAGAACAAGTTTCTTTTCACCGCTTAAAGGTAGCATATATATGAACCCGGAAGCGCTTCGATACCGACTTGCTTTACGGCTTACCGTCAAACAGGCGTCCACCTAACGCATGGCATGTAACGTTAACGGATAAACAGCTCCAGTACGTTGGCTAGGTGACGCCGCGCTTACGGCTCGCCAACCGCTAGTTGACGGCTAAGCGGTACCAGATCAATCAGTTTGAATCCGAACGTGAGGCCGCGGGAGGATGGATGAAGAGGCGTAAGCTAGGGTACGTCTCTACGTAGCCTTGATTACCTCTCTAGGTAATCTAGGCTAGGGAGAGTAAAACACGCACCAAACTGCAGTTCGGGAGCATGTCCCGAGGCGAGGCGATAACGCTACCATTCCGCTTACAATGTGCGTTGCAGTAGGTAGTTCTTTGTATGAAACAAAGAATTCTGACTGGGACGACGAGAACTCCTTTCCAAGTTGATAGATATGTGTGCTACGACTTTAAGTATCGTTTTTTCATATATTTATTTGTTTCATTAGTTCTGATGTAAAAAAAATATACTTCGAAACATTTTTATTAGGGTAATAAATTTTAGAAAAAAAGAGAAAAAAACCCGCTTCAACTTCAAGAAACTGCCTTGTATTTGTTTTTACGAGTAACAGGAAGAAACTTTGCTTCGTATTCATAATAATCCGATGAGAATCACAGAGGATTTGAGTGCTGCTATGCAAAACGTTTTATCTTCCCCGAATAAAATATTCTATCCACAATAAATTAATTCAGTTTGCAACGAGACTCGAATTGGTTCTCCGAGATAAGCTATAACATTATTGTGCTGGTTATGGAATCACTTTTCCAGCAAACAGCGTTTCAATTGAACATAAATGGAAAATGCTCATACATTAAAATATTAAAAAATCAACAAAAAAAGTTTCAAATGTATAGTCATTGGCACTCAAAGTGCAATAATAGCAAAGAATGGCATGACAAAAACTTTGATGTTTTGTTGAATTTTAGAAAAGCTAAAATACAATTTTCATCAATGTAGTTTATTTAACTAATTTTGTCGATAAAATGTGTCATTCAGTTATAAAATAACGTCTTTTTTTAAAAACATACTATCCCTTAATCACTTCAATGAAATGGCTGCTTTATCGTCGCATGTGCGAACAGGCGACAATCAAAGTTCGTATAAAAAAAACGATTTGTAGAACTCAACTTTCTTCTGGACCTTGAAGAATGGCCACGAAATAATAATAAAAAGGTATTTTTTCAGTATTTTCTTTCTAATTTAATGTTAATGCAAGAGGGCCAATTCGGAGGGCTAACATTAGTACAGCCTCCATAGGCTTAGCAAAATAAAAATGATATAAACGAAAACTTTGAAGGACATAGAGCTTCAGACCTAACTTTAATAAGGGCAAATTGAAAGAACTCTCGTACAATCAGGATTTTCATAACAGATCTGTGAGCGGCGCCCTTATCGCTGCTCCTACCACATAAATAAAGAAAGCATAGACACAAAGCTTCCTACAATGGCGCGTGTGTATAAAGCACTGGCGGCGTGTCGGCTACGCAGAGAAACGATACTATTAGGTATACTTATATATTTTTATACGAGGTGCAACAAATTACCACACTCCACCTGATATTAATTGTATGTGGAGTCCTTGAGTTAGATAATGAGGCAGAAGGTGTGCCGCTCAGCCATCCTCACCTTGCCGGCTCGGACCCCATCCGCTACCCTGCGGAGTCCTGGAACCCTACTGACCAGCAGAAACACAACACCAACAATAGGTGTTATTTTAAGATGGAGATTGCTTCCCAAGACGGGCGCTCCAATATTTTTTTTGAGTGTGTATGCTGTTTGTCTCAGATGACCTTTACAGCTTCACCGGGTTTGGGGACGGCGAGATCTTAAGGGGACCTCAAGCTGAGAATTGGCGATTGCTTCTAGAGGTATTCCAGGCGGATGGCATCTTCCCACGGGCGGATTATCCTCTCCGTCTGGAGCCACGGGCGCTCCAATTCGAGCAGAAAATCTGCTGTGCTCTACCAGTGCTCGCTCACATAGGCAAATTGCATAAAATTTGCTTCTGTATTCTTTACTCATCTGCTTCTACGATTTAAGCTTGACCTTTCCCTAAACTTGGGCACAGTCAAGTAGGGTCAGGTCAACACCGCAATCATACACGCTGCGGTTGTCACATAAGAAATTACCTACGGAATTGTAAGGGCGTGCACACAAAGTCCACCTTTGACTATTTTTTTGTTAGATGGGCTGACCTTATTAAATGAAGATGGAAGACTTTTGTTAAGGAATTGGTTGATAGAAACCATTAAACGGAAATCGAATACAAAAATATGCTGAGACTGGAGAGCATAGAAGCTGTAGTTGTCGCTTGGGGCAGTAAAACAAAAATTAATTAATTATTATCATTACACATTTTACATTTCAGAAATCCATATCAATGTGAAATGAGCTATGCTGGTCTGTAATATTTTACGCATTAGCCGGCGAATCCGTCTTGGTAAAGGTTTTCTTAAAGAACTATGTAAGCTACTTTTTCACATGAACACATAGTTCGGGTTACGCCTTCAATGTTCACGATAAGAAAATGGAAGTTTGCCAATCACTAAAAGACTATATCTATATCGAAATAAAATATCAGCCCCCTAGCTAATTGGCGAACGCTTCGTAATGAATTTGCTGTGTGCTACATTAACTTCAATTTGTAATACTCGTAGATAATGAATTTATCACGTGATATTTCGTCGTGTTCAATAGTGTACCTAAATCGCATACACTTAACATTTAAATTCACGTTTAACGTAAGACACTAAGCTAGGCCCCCAGTAGATACTTCTCGTCACGTTATTAAGCTCTTTGTACGCCTTATGTTTGGTAGCAATAATATGCACAGCCATAGGAAGAAGTTGTTCCGCAACTGCCTTTTTATAGACATTTACTATACGCACAATAACGTTTGCAGCTGCTGTTTGTTGGCATAGGGCGGTTATAGGCGGCTCCAATCTCAAATATTTTATAATTTGTATGGAGACAAGGTAAAGTCAGGCTTGCAACAATTTGTTGTACGGCTTTTTGAAATGTCATGTTTTTCTTGTAAGTAAATAGGTTCCCTGCTATTTTTTGTGAGGAAATGGAATAGTTTTTTAATTTCTCATGTTTCAACGGGCTCTAAATGTGTTTTTTTTAATACTTTTATACATATCTCTACGTTTGGGAGCCTACAAAGGAACTCAAGAGTATAGATATATGTATAGGTATACAAGTATTAAAAACGCATTTAATCCCGTTGAAACAGTTTTATTTAGAAATGAAATAGTGATGATTTTATTTATTTTTTAAGCATTTAACTGCTAGATGCTTAAATCTAAAGAAAAGTTTACTAGAAAAAAATCCACGCGGATCAGGCAGCGGACGGGACTCGAACCCGCATCCTTCGCTATCTGGGCGAATGCCTTGCAGCTTAAGGCTAGGAAAATTTCGACGCGGCTAATAGGGCCGTGGTAGCATAATGGTTGTCCTCATTATTTTGTAGCCTATTTCATATTTAACTACGATTGTATGTATGGAATATTGCTGTGAAGTTTTCAGTTATTATTTAAATGAATTTAACCCAATAACCTGGATAAAATTTTAAAATTTATAAAGTCAACAGTTTTTTTTATTATAATTACTAACGTCATGAAATCATAAAGCACCTTTGTTTTTCATTAAACTAAAAGATACAAATAAAATTAATTTAAACAATGTTACTTATAGCTAGCTGTGTAATGACCTATATAAAGATTATTATTTTATTTTTATTTTAAGCATTTAACAGCTAGTTGTTTTAATCTAAAGAAAATATTACTGATAGGGGGATTCCGTCTGAAACCTGGACGGAGTTAATTCTTTTGAAGTGAAAACTTCTTTAGTACCGTTGTGATTTGAAACGTTTAACAGTATTTGGCACAAGGTATCCGTAACTCTCTGCAAGTGACAAATAGCCCAACAACGGTAAGGCTCTTGGGGTCGTCACCAAATAATCAGTGTTTCGATCCTGAGCTCGGTTATTGTTTTAATTGTTTTTTTTTATCTTTCATTAAGCTTTTATTTATTTTTCGAAACAATATAGATTATTTCATTTTGCCCAGTATTTTACAATATCTGAATAATTAAGTATTAAACTTTTGCTAGGTGCCTAAGTTGTTTATTAATACAGGCTTTGTTTTATCAACAATCCTTACCTTTCCAATGTTTGCAATTATTTTACAGTATTTTGTTATTAATAAATATTGCGAAAAAAAACTTAACCGAAGAAAAACAACAAAAGAAATAATATAAAAATGAAGAACGTTTACGTGTTCACATTTTTGTAGGATTCACTTCTATCGCATGAGAACAGCACATGTCCAGTTTTTTTAGTAATATGACTATATAATGATTAAGGTGTTAATCAAGCAATGAATTCTAATGATAGAACCCTAAAAGTAAGACTTCATGTACCACGTAGGATGCACCAATAAGCAGGAACCGTTCTCGATTAGTATACACTCGACTTTCAAACGTTAAACGCTAGCATGAATCATATTTTTGGTGAG